CATCCATATAACAACTTCAGAGTAAGTTCATTTATATCAGCAAGACTTCTGACATTGCAATTGACGTTGCGCATGCCTTGATATGTGTATGTATATATTTAAATGTTTTAAAAACCACTTTAGATAATGCCTTAAATCATTGCCATCAGCAAAGCACAAGGCGGTTATTAGTCGATAGAAAGTAAATGAGTGTTTTCGCAGTGACGTTTTTAAAGCTAAATTATACACTGCTTACTGTAATAAGGTGGTTTATTCCCTGAACAGTGGACAGCTGCCAGGACATGCTAGCAGAAACAGAGAGGAGATCTGAGTGAATTCTGGTCCAGGTCTGCAAGTTGGCACGGACAAGCTCCAGCCTAAATTATGTATATCTTCTTTCTCTTCACTCCCACCCAATCTCTCTCCGTCTCACACGCACAAAACACACACACACACACAGGAGGGAGTCCACTTTTGTGAGCGGGAAGAGACAGCCAAACAACAGGGTGAGTTTGGGGTCGAACAACAAAAGAAACGGCACAAAAAAGAGAGATTAGTTGAAAAGGAGGCAAAGTAAAAAAACACGTCGCTGTGCAACGTCAGCGGAAGAAATGTCGACGTTACATCAATGTTAGTGAGTCACAAACATCATGTACAATTTCAAGGCTTCAAAACATCCTGACAAAAGCAGGAAATGGCAGCAGAAGTGTTTCTGAAGAAGGTTATTGACTGAACAGTTATGAAAAGAGTTGGAGTTGTATCGTCATTCACTGATCGACTTCCTCGAATGCTCTGTTTGGCTGTTATTACTTTGTGCCATGTCGCGTTGGGAGTGAGGTCATTAATAGGGTCAATTGAAAGTCAATTTGAGAGTTTCTAGCGACACAAAGTGAAGATGTAATGTAGAGAATATTAATATCCAGAAGAGCTGTCTCGAAAAGGTCAACTCTGTCCTCTGCATAAATCCCACAAGAATGTGAGTGAGACATCAGTTTATGGGCTCTTGGGATTTTCTGCATATCTGGAGGATTTTTCTCAAATCAGTTCCAATATTACAGTATTTACTTGTGCTTTAAAGGTGACATATTATGCTACAGGTTCATATTTGTATTCTATGCCTCTACTGTGACATGTTTCCATGCTTTAATGTTTAATAGGTCTTTATTTTTCTCATACTGCCTGTGCTGCAGCACCTCTTTTCACCCTCTGTCTGAAACCAGAGCCCAGTCTGCTCTGATTGGTCAACGGCATCACGTACAATGTGTTGGATCGCTGGCAGATAGAAGCTCCCAGACAGGAAATCTCCATTAGCAGTGAGTGGCAGAGCGAGATAACATACAGTTGGTACATACAATAGAAGTGCGAGTGTTATGTAGAGATGTCACGATGTTACAGTAAGTAAACAAAGGAGATACACAATGGCAAACAGCGCTTGTCATGTGAAGGTAGCTTTAGAACTGTGATAAAAGTCCATTTTAAATAGTGTGTGAAAGCCCTGTACTGTATTTATAAGTGTGGTAGCGGTGAAGGACCACTTTACCAGCGTTTTTTTTTTTAGCAGTCCCTGATCTTTCCCCACTGTTAAAGCCTGCCGTGACTCAGCCAGGGACCAATATGACAAATTACCGCACAGCAGGGGGCTGACTGATGATAAAGTTGTGCACTGCATTTAAATAAGCTTTCCTGCAAGCTGAACATGCTGGATATTAAAGTCTCTAAATCTTCAAAGCATCTCATTTCTAACTGTAAGAATAGTATGAATTGTTAACATAGGAGCTTAAATGGTAATAGCTTACATCCACATGAATTTGGCTAATTTAAAAGTCACAGAGCTACATTTAGCTTGAGTAATATGTTTCTTTTTTTTAAACAGACATTTTCTGAGGAGTTTGTGATCAGTAAGCTATAGTAACCACTACTTATAGAGGTTATACAAAAATAAAAAAGCCTTATAAAACATCATACTGGGAGGGTTGTCAAAATCTTTTCTTTTTTTTGCAATAAAAGATCATCCTATTAGCATTTAAGAAATATTGTAAACCTACACTTTAGTCCTTAGAGCCAATCTCTACAAGCTGTACAACCCGTATGGAAAGTGTTCATCTTCAAAGTGAAAATGTTCTATTCAAGAAAAAACATTTGGACATTTTAACACGACGTTTTCTTTCCTCTTATATTGAAGTGCCAGAGGGGAGCCTATGCATGGATGCACTGAGTGGCCTAAAAACGGCATCAGAGGTTGTGTGATGTGACCTCCCCAGACAGTATGCAAACAGATGTTGCTGGTCGGGCAGCGTCCATCTGACAAGAGGAGAGGAGAGATAAACAGCACATACCTGCAGAAAGTCAGATTAGCTTAAAGTGGACCTATCATGCTATATTTGAATAATATAGTGTAGGACCATACCTATATAAGGCATATTTATACTTTTTTTTTTTCAAAATACCAAACAGATCATGCATTTTAGCCATGCCTCATTTCGCTCAATTTGACCATTTCTAGCTCTGTTTTAGCAAGGGCTGATTCTGTGAGAACAGCACCATCTACAGGCCTGGCATATGTACTACAGCGTCTCCAGCGCTTTCGAACGGCAATGGCCGTGGCTGTCTCCTCCTGATTGGTGGAGTTGGCCCAATAGCCGTAGCGCCACTGTCCTGACGTCAGGACAGTGTTCAAATCTGGATCAGTTTTTATCAGATCCGTTGCAGCCCCTTTTTTAGAGATTTGGGTATGGAGGAAAATAGAGAGGGTTGTGTTTTCTGACACTTGGTGAGTTCCCTGGAACACCGGGGACACATATTCATGTATAAAAGACGTACAAAAGTGCATTTTGCATGATAGGCCCCCTTTAAACCTTCATATTGGCAGTGTTGGTAATTTAGTCAACCAGAATATAAAAAGGCCTTGGTTTTTCCCCCCGAATCTTTGTCAAGATTCTGACTCCTATCTAATGATAACCTCTCAGAAGGATTTCAACACAAGCTGAGTTCCCTCCTGCTTCTATTCTGGTCTCAATACTCAATTCACACACCACAACAAGGGGAAACAATATATGTCACTGTGAGTGACAGTGCTGCCTTCAAAAGGCACAACTCAAAATGAAAGATATAGCCAACAATTCTTCATTTTTATCCTCAGGCTCATGAATAGAGACCTCTTTGTTGGAATCCACGGGTGGTACTAATGCTTTATAAAAGGGGAGTGAAAAGAATAAGAGCAGCGATGCTTTTCAGATTGAGACGGAGCCTTCTGGAAACAGTCATATATGCTAATGCTGCCAGCGGATCATGCTCCTAATGAGGTCCAAATGAACAATTTGCTGATTGGATTGAAGCTGCAAAAATAGCTGTCAATCAGGAGATAAGAGGGGAGAGAAGAGAGGAAAGCTGAGAAGAAATGCAGGGAAAATGAAACTAGATGACTGACAAAGTGATAAAATACCTGTGTAGACAGTCCAACACACACAAGGGGTTTCAGGGAAGCGAGAAAGTACCTAGGAGGGTGTGTGCTCGCATGTTCAAGCGTTGGCGTATTTACCTTTTTGTGTGCGAGTGCATCTGTCCGTGCACAAATACACAGTCTGCCCATTATGCAATTGGAGTAAGTGCCACCGGAGCATTACAGTCCATTTAGGTTTCAAACAGTGAGACAGCACTTGGCACTTCATTTAGCCACACAAGCGTGTAACAGCATCCAGCTCACACTCCCAGAGCACCGCCAAAAAAGAAAAAAACAAACACCCTGTTCCTGAGAGTTTCAAAGTGCAGCTGGGAACGGGCTCTGTGCGCAGGGAGGCTCCAAGGTGGGAATTCTCCATTAGCAGTGAGCCGCAGAGCGAGTACACATACGTGGTGTTGGTACAGACCTGCATTCAAATCCGGTTCTCAAACATTAATCTGATGATTGTTGACGTCATGCAAATTGATCACTCTCAGTCTCAGACATCCAATAGCAAACACACAAGAAAGCCTTCCTTTCATTACTGTTATTATTAATACTATTAATGTTCAAAAAGATCTTTACTTTTCTCATACTGCCGGTGCTGCAGCACCTCTTTTCACCCTCTGTCTAAAACCAGAGCCCAGTCTAGGGCCTCTTACATTTCCTTAAACATATACAGTAACTCCATCTAATATCTCAATCTGTCATATACAAAGTGCATCCTTGACACAAAGGGATTTTTGTCAGTGCTGTAATTGAGAAAGGGTTCAAAGTATGAGCACATCTACTGTATTTTACCTTCTTGTGACCACTTATTATGTTTTTCTGTGCTCGTTCCAGCAGAAAATTACTCATTGTTCGTTTAAATGGCAGCTGACCTTCCGTTACTCCTGAGAAACACACCTACAAGGGCAGCGGGAACACTGAAATACAGGACTAAAATAGAGATTTGTCCCCCATAAAGTTTCAAGCACACATACACACCCACACACACACCCCTTTCTCCCCCTTGACAGTACTCCCCTCCTCCCCTTTGTGTGAGTCTAATGAAGGCAGAGTGCGTGGGCGAGCATTTACGCCATGCCTGGTTGCACGCGGTCACCCCTCCTGAGCAACATACATACAAAAACACATAGACACATACGAGACACACACACTCACACACACACACACTATCCAGTCTGAGCCCTGTGTACTTGACTTCAGGTCGCCCATCTGCCAATCTCTGTCTCTCCACCTTTCACTTTCTTTCTCTCACATGCAAATGTTCACTTTTCCATCTGATTCGCTCACACCGAGGGATCATTATCTTGGGCATAATGCAGACACGGAGTCATGATGTGGTTATCATCACGACAGGGCACCGCACACTCAGCGTGCCTCTTATTGAAAGGATTAAAACCCCCATCTCTCACAGTGTGTGTTAAATGAACGTGTGATCGCTGACCTACCCTCCTTTGATGTAGTCCAGGAAGGTGACTTCAATGTCCAGCAGGAAAGACAGCAGCGTTACCTGTAAGAGATAGAGCCACAATGAGCTATTAGCCAATGATTATCACTAACCAACTGGATCTACTGTAGTAAGGTATAGTATTTAAACTCCAGCACATGTATCAAGAAAAATTATGATCTACGATTGTGGAATATTTACTCACCGTTCCAGAGTTGAGGTATTTTTTCTTCCTTCCTTTCTTCTTCAGATTTATCACCTAAAATTAGACAAGATGTGATTGATGAGATTACATGCTGTGACGGTAACCTTTATCATTCATGTATTCCACAATAGCTGGCTGTTTAACTGCAAAATGCTCCACTATCATCAAAAGCTAGCAACTTTGCATGCCGCTTTTACACTGAAAAAGACACATAAAATGGAAACCATAACAATGAGCTGAAAGACGCTAAAATGGTATGTTGGGGTGACAGGAACTAGAAGCGTTGGTTGATAATTATCTGTGGGTTTGTCACAACAAACATTGCTAATATTAAAAAAGGACTACAAAAGTTGAACATACTACTGTTCAAATTGTACTAAAACCAATCACAAAATGCCAAACATTATTCCTGCCTTAGCTAAAATCTTACACAGGATAGTTTGTATTCTTCTGCACGTAGGGTGGTGCGTCGTCATGAATATGTAACAGGACACAAAGTGAGTCAACCTTCATTGGATACAACTCCTACACTTCTAAACAAGCTTTACTTGTACTTAAAGAACATGTTTTTTTGAACAGATAACAAAAGTGGGCTTCAGTTAATTCAGTCATGCTGCGACACAAGATCATTAAAGCACAAATATGCTGGGCAGAAACTCGCTTTTAATCCCAAACATTATATCAGTTTTATGGTCTTATTAAAACGTGCCAAGGTTAAATCGAAAGAGAGACCCTCTTGAAAACCACATACGAATGTGTGGATTTATGCATTTCTCCTTGGTTCACATTGAAATAACACAAGGACACGTTTGCCTCTGGAGGTGAGGTGCAATGATTGAAACGGGTTTGCACCACAAAACACACACACACACACACACACACACACACACACACACACACACACACACACACACACACACACACACACACACACACACACACACACACACACACACACACACACACACACACACACACACACACACACACACACACACACACACACACACACACACACACACACACACACACACACACACACACACACACACACACACACACACCACACACACACACACACACACACACACACACACACACACACACACACACACACACACACACACACCTCATAGACGTTGAACTGGCTCTGCCCTCTGGATAGTTCTCTGTAGCTGGTGCTGAACTCCCCGATAAAGTCATGACTTTTTTGAGACACAAAGAAAGAACAGAATACATATTTAAGAAACAAATACAACTGTTTGACAATATACACTATTTAATTATCCAAGGTAGTACACACGATATTACGATATTGGAATTTGTCGCATAGAGAATAGATAAATAACAGAGTCCAGACTCATCATTAAAAAGTTAATCTGTGACGATCCTGCTTCCTTACCTACTGAAAACACTGCTGTTAATTAAGTGGGACTTGGATTAGCCTTGCTGTACACAGGAAGATAACGTGTGTTGAATGTCAATGTAATCAAGATAAAAGGTAATAAGATAATGAATTGCTGGGTATTTAATGGTGATTGGGTATTGAGGTCAGATTTGTATCTGTACAATAACATGGTATGTTCACAATCTTGTAACCAAACTCAATAGCAATATGAAAATTGGCTGGAATTAATAAATTGGTCTCCTATTAGGTTACATTTTTGACAGATGAATTGTCATATTTGTTTCTTTGTTGCTGATACTAAAAAATATATTTTTTGCGTTAGTAATCAACAAAAAATAGCAGATTTAACAAAGAAAATGTTCTGAAAATAATTCAACGATAATAATAAAATAATAATACAATATATTCAATATTAAAGACTTAAAATAACTTGATAATCAATAGTTATATTATGTAATCTTTTTAATTTATATAATTGTTTTATTCCATTAAATTTTGTATTAGCTATTTTTCTTTAACTTCATAAGATTCTATAAATATTTTGTCACGAAAAGTATTATGATATATGATCCCAGGCTGCGATCCAAGGGTAGTGAAATAGCTAAATTGCTAAAATAACAATAGAAATAGGCATTAAAAGAGAGGGAATACCTGCCATCTCTGTCCCAGTCGTACACCTCGACCTTGATTGTTCTGTTGGGAGAGGAAGAAAATGAGAATCAGATAAAAAGACAGATTTGTTTTATTTTTCTGAATTTTGACTGTATTGTGGATTCTCCTGGTGTGCTTCCTCATTGTAACACAGGTAAAAGAACAGGGTTGCTTGACATTTACGATAAAAAAGGCAACATTTCAAGTGAAAAATGACTTACTATACTCAAATTTGCAGTGATAAAGGTCTATATTCTATCCTTTTACGCAACACAATTATAAAATATAGATGCACTTGATCGGGAAAATGTTCAGTTATTTTGTCATTGTTGTCATGGAGGCGTAAGGAGATCCATTATGCAGCTTATCTTTATTCCAACACACTGTGTACCTGTCACTGTATTTATCTCTGGTAATGTGCTCTGCTCATTTCCAAACACATCTATTTCTGCATCCCATAAAAAAGCAAACAGAAGAGTCTGCAGGAGGCAGATATGCTGCCATATCAATCCATCGACCAATATCTTCACCAAGAGGATAATTTCTCTGCTTTCAAAAGCAGGAGCGCAGTACGTGGGGGACAAAAGAACCGACACGGAATTAAAACAGACAGGAGCAAAGGGCTCTCTGTGGCAGAAAATGAAGAGGAGTGAGCACGGGGAGGAGAAAACGGTGTAAAGATGACACCAAACTGACATAAAATAAATACAGGAGTGACATCATGTACTGCTCGTTCTTTCTCAGCCAATTAGGTTTGTCTTTCTGACAGCGGGAACTCCATATATGTCAATCTTTACTGTATAAAAGTTTGCGAGCAGACAGTAACATTTCATGAATCTTTTAAGACTTTTCCACAGCTTTAGAGCTTTCTAGAACACATCAAATACCTGAGCCAAAAAAACAACCACTTCTACATACTCCTCGTCTTCCGATATGAGAAGAAAGTGGACATAAAAATCATCATTAAAGCGATGCTAAGGAAAGGAGGCAATACATGTGAGGAGGAGAGGGAACTGGCTGAGTGATTGTGATGGGCACTCCGGGGATGAAAGCGTCTCCTGGTTGGCTTAACACTCTCTCCTCCAGAGAATCGTGTGTGTGTGTACTTGTGCGCGTGTGCATGTGCGTGTGCGTGTGTGTGTGTGTCAGAGTTCCCGTTAGAATATTTTTTTGCCGGTCAACATGTCCGTTAAAGTTGAAATCTTCCGGACAAAATGAGATAAGTGCCGGTCAAAGGTCTTCTTTGTTATTTATTGAGCTTTAAAACAAATTGATATGATTCGATATTAAACAAACTAATTATAGTAGATTAACTACATTATTCAAAAGTGTACAGTAATTTACAAAAACGCGGGAATAATAAACGGAGCGCTCTCTCCTTCTCCTGACAGCCCGTCAGTATCATGCAGCTCGCGGATCCAGTAATGAGTGACCCGACAGTAAAACTAAACATATCTATAACTAGTTTAGGTAGTTTGAGAGGTAATTAAAATAGCTACGTGTGATGTTCTAACCTGAAGTGTGTTTTGCTCTGCTCGCCGCTGCAGGGGATCATGCAGAGCTGCGTGTCGACTCGTCAGCAGCAGCCGATCTCTCTCTCCCGTCAGATTAGACTTTACTCGCGTTTATGTCCATATCGATCAGATCTAGCTAGTTCTAGCTAATGATATGACTACCTGCTTGTTAAAAGACACCTGAACAATAAGCGTCGCTATGCAACCGGGTGAGGCCGCAAAGTATAGCGCAGCATTATGCATTTGTTTACATGCCCACCGGAACCCCGAGGCATTACCAACAGATCAACGCACAATCAACCATTATGTATCTAATACCTAATATATATATATCATTCCAATAACTTGTATATAGACTCATACTGCACTATTCCACATCATAACTTTATTTCATTTTTATAACTATTATTATTTTTGTATTGCTCTTGCTCTTATTGTTATGTTATGTTATTATGTTGCATTGTTGGAGAAGCCTGTGACATAAGATTTTCAACTGCATAATTACTCTGTAGCTATGTCAGATTGACAATAAAGAACCTTGAACCCTTGAACCTTGAACCCATACAGGACATCTCTTTCTCCACATTAAGTGTTAGACATTAGAATGGACTATTCTTGTCTATCACATACTCTTTTGTCTGTCACATACTATTCTTGTCTGTCACATAAGTGGCGCAACTGATGCGGTATTGCGCTAAGGGAAAATTATTTTGACCGGACATTTTGACCGGAGAGATTTAGATTTGCCGGTCTTCAGCATATTTTACCGGTCATTGTCCGGTAATTACCGGCTAACGGGAACTCTGGTGTGTGTGTGTGTGGAGTGGCTGTTTACTGGGCGTGTCTCATTAAGGCAGCGAGTGTTATGCCACATCTCTGTTGAAAAACATCCCCCTCGCTCTGAGCTTTGACGAGGTGACAGGAAATTGACAATGACTTCAATTGTGGGTCTCATTGTACGTGTGTGTGTGTGTGTGTGTGTGTGTGTGTGTGTGTGTGTGTGTGTGTGTGTGTGTGTGTGTGTGTGTGTGTGTGTGTGTGTGTGTGTGTGTGTGTGTGTGTGTGTGTGTGTGTGTGTGTGTGTGTGTGTGTGTGTGTGCGTGCATGTGAGCACCTATCTGCAGAGACACTGTTCTGTATTGTTTGCCAGCTTGAGCTTCTTCTTATCTCTTTTCCCAGGCTGCACACAGACAGATTCAATATGTGTGTGTGTGTGTGTGTGTGTGTGTGTGTGCGTGCGTGCGTGCGTGCGTGTGTGTGTGGACTGTAAGAAGTGCAGTCCAGTGTGACTCTCCTGAATCCCACATTGATAAGACTTAACTCCTCTGATAAGCTTATTGGAGCAAACTTCAGATCAATGCTGCTGTCTGCTAGCTAAGCTAAACCCTATTGTCTGCTTCTGTAAACCTTTCAGTACACAGCTGCAGTCACTCACACTGGAGATAGACGCAAACACATGACTCGCATGAGAAAGATATACTGTTACCTATATATTTGTTTTGTGTCTAGGACTTCTCCTGAGAGTAAACCCTGAAAATAAAAGGGCTATAGATAGCAATACAAAGTAAGAGTTGAAATGAAAAAGAAGAGGGAACATAAAAATGAAAACAACATTTTTAACAGGTCGATATGTTTTGCAGCTTTCTCCACTGATTGCCTTTATTTGTCATTTGTATGTTTTTATCAGTCAGACAGATAAAACTCCTATTACATGAGCACCTATCAGTCATTTCCTAGCATGCTCCTACACATCTTCATATTGCAAGACACAAGTTCACAAAAAAGGTCACCAGAAAATAACGTTACTTGCCTCCAAATAATGATTTATTCCCTTAAATGCATCATCTAGAGAATAAATCTCACCTCGGCATTGACTTGGATAGTAAACAAGACCAAATTACACATCCATGCTTCGTTTTCCAGGGAATATTACAAATAATAAACATTTATTCTATGCCAAATCTCCATTTTCCTCCTGCTGAAATTGCCAAATATAACAACATATTGACCTTTCAGACGAACCCAGCTTCATGCATTTTTCATTCAAACTGGATTTTCAATGTATAAGAGAAAGAGCCACTGTGTTATGCTGTGTGTATACACTGGAGGACCATCCATCATTATCTCGCATGAGATTTTCAGTAAATAACTCCATGATTCAGGGGATTGTCCGGGGTGGTTGTTTTCTATTTAAGTTGCCGTAATAGCTTGGTATATATATATATATACAGTATATATAGAAAAAGGACTCACCTGTCGTGATCCCCATTGCAAAGAGCCCGGACGGGGATTTTAAAGGCCTGCCACACTGGGTTCAACGTATTCTTGATCACCTCTGTCTTGTGGCAGATGGTAAACCTGGAGAAAGAAAAAGAGAGAAATTGACATGTGTTGGTAGAGAGAGGGGAATAGAAGAAGGCAGTGGAGTTAAAGAGGAGACTTTCTGCAAACTGAGAGTAGACGTGAAGGATTGTGGAAGCTGGACTTCACACACATGCACAGAAATACACACACAAACACACACTGCAAAGAGGGGATTTCTGTTCTGTTGGCTAGCAGGTGGACTCGGTATCTTCTCCACTCAGAGCACAAGGTCTTATCTGACTTGTCACACACTGCAGGGTGGAAAAGAGAGCCCACAGACACACACATTTAGAATCTATGTGAACATACAGCACTGCACTCTAACGCCTCCTGCTTCCACACACACTCACATTGGTGTGTTCCACATGTAATTCACCCACATGCTTTAAACAGGCAGCATAGCTTTTAATCTGAGCGGCGAATCGATAAAACCAATTTCCTTTGGGTGCAAAGGACGGATTAAACTAAACATGAAAGGGGAGAAGGACCGATGGAGGGAGAGTGACGGAGGAAGGGTGGGGGGGGGGGAACTCACGTGCCGTCCTCGTTGCTCCTGTAGAAAACCAGGAAGGGGTCGGACTTGCCGAAGAAATCTTTTTTGTCCAACTTGTTCCCGCAGAACTGCATCATCACTGATTCCTGATGAGGAAATCAACACAGAAAACTAAATAAAATCCATATGTAAAGAATATGGCTTAGACATTGTACACACACATTTCCGACTGATGTGACTTTTCAATGCTGGAGAATGTCTTTATTATTATATTTCCTTTCCCACTGATAATTATACAATATATACAAATGCTTTTTTTATTATTATTGTTGACTTAAAACAATGTGTGTTTTTGTTTTGAAATGGTGCCCCAAAAATGATATTATTATATATGCTGGGGCCAAAAAAATAGTTTAAATAAGATGAAAAATAAGTAAGGCTAAATTAAAACACAAAAGGGACAACATTCATTATTTTTAAATGAGTTTTATCAACTGTCGGCAGGCAAAATTGATAAATAAAAAAAACAGCTTTTGTTAAAGCAAAGGAAAAGCTAAACTTGTATCTAAAATGTATTTAAATTATTTTACTTAAAGTGGACCTATCATGCTATATTTGAATAATATAGTGTAGGACTATAAAGGCATATTTGAAAAATGTTAGCTCTGTTTTTGCAAGGGCTGATTCAGTGAGAACAGCACCATCTACAGGCCTGGCATATGTACTACAGCGTCTCCAGCGCTTTCTAATGGGAATGGCCGTGGCTGTCTCCTCCTGATTGGTGGAGTTGGCCCAATAGCCGTAGCGCCACCGTCCTGACGTCAGGAAAGTGTTCAAATCTGGATCAGTTTTTATCAGATCCGTTGCAGCCCCTTTTTTAGAGATTTGGGTATGGAGGAAAATAGAGAGGGTTGTGTTTTCTGACACTTGGTGAGTTCCCTGGAACACTGGGGACACATATTCATGTATAAAAGACGTACAAAAGTGCATTTTGCATGATAGGTCCCCTTTAAACTATTATTTATTGATGTATTCCATGATATATTGTTAAATATCTGATTTGTATTTCTCTATGTGGAAACTAAACACATGAAATCCCCAGCAGTTTATATGCGTCCTCACCCTGCAGTTGTTCAGCTCCTCGGCTTTCACGATGATGGTCCCGCATTTCTTCCCTTGAATGCCCCTGAACACAACACGAGAACAGGTTAAGGGTTAACATGTCACCAACACATGGGGGGTGTATTTGGCAGGACAAGGTTTTTTACTCTGCTTTCCTCTGCACTCGACTACGAGGTCAAGTCGCCTTTGTGAGATTATCTCAACTTGACCGTGTCTCATTGCTTTGTTTGTTTACTCAGAGATGTTACATACTGCCACTGAGGCGTGTTGCCTAGATAGATTTGTCAGATTTGTACCGGTTTCCACAAAACATGTATTACTGCTGTTTCTGCTTTGTCAATATAGACCTCACATTGGCTGTTAAGTATATGGATTCAGCTGTCGATGGGTTGGACTTAAATCTAAATGAGGCATGATGAATGTTACTGGAAAGGTTTGCTTTATGAACACACCGCTGTTTAGACTCTGGTCAGGAATAAACCTCATGGAAAGTTTTACAACATAGTAGAGCCTCACAACATTTACGGAATACAAAATGTACACTGTTGAGCATGAGGTGTGTGTGTGTGTGTGTGTGTGTGTGTGTGTGTGTGTGTGTGTGTGTGTGTGTGTGTGTGTGTGTGTGTGTGTGTGTGTGTGTGTGTGTGTGTGTGATTGGGCAGTTGCAGCTGTGGTCTTTAGATACACTTCCTCTAAAACTGCAAATGTTTACTTCAGTCTGTTAGGGAATAGTCAAAGATGGATTGTTTATCTTCTTAGATGTAACCCCTTCTCTTTAATTGAATATTTCACGTAGAAAGTGACCATTTATACCACAAATCCTTGAAGAACGCTTCGTATTTCTTGCATGCCTCCACGGAGAACAAAGCTATTTTGCATTTGTCAAACACGGAACTAATTTGCAAGAATTAATCAAGACTTTTCTCAGTTTTTCGATTATTGTGCATGTCGGAGGCATGGGAGAACAATTAAGAATTCAAGGTAACACAGGGCGGATGTACAAAAACTCATTATAGGGTACTTATCTTGGTAATAAAACTGAGATATAATATAATAACTTTAATACAGTCCTCATACCAGAACCAGAGCCAGAGAAGTATTTAAAGAAACATATTCAGAGCAGAAGAATACAACTTGACCCGACATTTGAGAGGTTTTGCACTCTGACAAAGGGCCTGTCGTGTGATGATCTCCACTCTCAGAGACCCACCTGGCACAAATCCACTCAGGCAGTCATTCAGACAGCACAGAATTGGGGTTGAGGACTTCTTCCTGAATTTAAAGCAAGTCTGTTTTTACTCAAGCACAATATATAAGTGGAAAGTGCTTTTGAAATGGCAGACTTGAGGTAATGCTTTGCATTCACCTTGTAAAGGTGATGCCCTTTTTTACTCGGAGATCTGGAGATGGGAAAGTAAAATAGCCTCTTGAAGGAAGAGACTTTCTCTATGTCTTTCCTCATTTCCATTTATCAGACAGCACACACAGGTGGGGTCAGAGTATGGATATGCATCATGTGTGTAAAATGAGTAAGATATATTCAGAGGAAGACTGAGTAGGACTAATTAAGATTTGGAGAACCTGTGAGGCGGATCTTAATGTCCTGCCTAAAGCAGCAAATGCCAGGAAATCGATATAGTAATAATATATATATATATATATTTTTTGTAGTAGAATAATTCCATGTAATGATAAATCATAAGTTGAAGGAGAGATTTGCCTGCACTGCGGTTGATGTTATGTGAAATATTTTAGGATCATCTCAAAACATATTTACAATGGAGATAGGAGTACTCATGTGCATAAGCCAAATAAAAACAACTAACCGCTTCTAGTTCTGTAACATTAATGGCGCCCAGAAGTATGAATTGAAATATATATATGTCTTATTTTTCGTGTGACCTCTTTAATATAGCCATAGAAACAATAGGGATCCATCCCCCCTTCGAAAAAAGCTTACTGTCACATCCACTGCACATGGATAACAATGAACAACATAAAAGTCAAATTAAATCAAAGTTATAGTGAAAAAAAGGTGGCTAAAAATATCTAAAAAGAGCTTGACTCTCAACCTACTTGATTATCCATTTCAAACATTAAACGACACCCAGGTTCTAGCTCTTTACCTTTTACACCAAATGATCTCATTTGCCTGCTCTCCCGTTATGGCAGTGTTATATATCATTTAAAGTGTAAATACTAGTTAACACAGCGTTATGTCTTAACAAGTATGGAATAGACACAAAAAGCTATAGCTATATATATATTTTAAAGGGCCCATGTCATGGCCATTTCCACTGATCATAATTACATTGTTGAGGTATACTAAAATAGATTTATACTGTGCAATTTTCCAAACTCACATTGGTTTCGCATACAGCATCTCTGTCAAGCATGTGTATTCAGCAGTATTCACTTTCTCCACTAAACGACTCGTTGGAGCTCTTGCCCCCCCCTCCCTGTGAGCCTAGTGTGCTCCGATTGGTCAGCTCGGCCACTCGTTCTGATTAGTCAACCACCAGAGAGGCTGCGCCCATGTCAGTGCTTTTCCCGGCTGCTCTCAGCGTAACATCAGTCTTATCATGGCGTCGGTACAGCGGTATATTTTATATACATATATATTTTTAACTGTTGTTATAGAAGAGTGTGACGGCCTCAGGGCCTTTGTCTTACGGTGGGGTGGAGCTGAAGAGGGTAATCAGCGCGATCACGGACACCTCCGTAGCCGGTGCTATTAATCCCAGCGGCCCGGAGTCTCTCTCCAAAGCGGCTGCAGAAGGACGAACTGAGCGACCCTCTCCCCTCGACCACCTGTCTCTGCATTTACTACAATAAATGTGCCGTGGTTTTGTAAACTCGTGTATGTCTCCTTGTCTTTCCGTTGTGGCCTACGAGCTACTCTCATAACAAAGAGTAAGTTATTTTTACCCGTTATAAACTACTACTGTTTGATGAGAAATCAAATCATGGTTTGCTATATATGAATTCAGGGAAGAAAGGATAGGCCTACTAAGTATTTCCATTAAACTTTATTTTTAGAAATGTACAAAATGAACATAAATATACATATATACACGGTATATCATCCATTCCTCCTCCTCGCATCTTGCCTGCGCACAGTCGGTGCGGTGCCTTTTAGCACCCTCAGTAGTAGTAGAATCCCTTCCCCGTCATGGATTGTCCGCCAGGATCTGGCTGGACGAAATCAAATGCAAATCACAAAATATTAGAGAAACTTAGTTGTTTTAGATTCGTTAGTAGTAGTTGTGTAATGAACAGCTTGCCTGCTAATATGCTAACCTAGCTTTGTTTACCTTGGTAGCTAACACGATATGAACGTTAGCTTGGAGGAAAGGCAACTATAATGCAGTGTAATAAAACTACTATGAACAAAAGCTAGTGGTTCATATTAGGCTAGCAATAACGTGTTTATAATTGCAATCGTATACGGGTATTCTGCTACGTTCGGTCATACAATGTAACTTGCATGAATACATTGTTTTGCGCTAGCATACAGCTAGCCTCGTTAGCTACATGCAGTATATGTACGGTCACAATGTACGGTAAATCACAGTACAGTATACTGTATGAGTATTCCGTGTGTGTGACTGCAGACATTCTCCTGCCATGACAAACATGTAAGGCCATCTGCTGACATTGTAGTTGATATATTAAAACGCTAGCAACGTAGCATCACAAAAATGTTTTTCTGACCGAAACTAGCTCTAGCTCCGTGTGTTAGATCGCTACGCCAGCTATAATGTAATTACGTTTCGCGACTGACCGGCAAATCACCCGGAGTATACTGTCAATAGGTATTTTGTGTGTGAATGCAGACATTCTCCTGCTATGAGATACATGTATGCAAGGCCATCTGCTGATATTAGAGTTGATATATGGAAACTCTAGCAACTTAGTTAGCACTGTGTCAATGGCTTAGCAGTCCAACACAGTTTACACATTTAAACAGTCTTGTTTGATAAATACACAAATAACAATGCAAACTTACAGGTTGTATACCCAGATCTTCCCCTGCTCCAAACGGTCCAAACAAGCTGTGCATATCCGGCCTCAAACTGGGCAATGTTTTGGAAGCTTTCGTCTGTGAAATGCCGGTTCTTCGAACCTCTGGAGGAGGAACACGACGCTGCTGGTGTGGCCATAGCTCTTCGGGATTGGTCCATTTCGTTCCGGGTACCGCATGACATCAGGCGGTACCCGGAACTAAATGGAAGACTCAAATGGGCAGTGACGTATCTCCAACGAGGCGTTTTGGGGAGGTATTTTCTGTGTTAGAGTTTTACTCGCTACAGGGTGTACTTTGAGGGTTTTGACTCTGCACACCGTTTACATGCATAAAAACCTTCATAACACACAAGGGGACGGGTAATAACCGGAAAAGCATGACATGGGAGCTTTAAGTAATACATGTTTTGTGGAATGTTTTGCTGCGTGGGTGTAACAGCTATATAAGATGCAGATGTCACCAGCGTGTATCAGAACTAAATATCATGTAATGTTAAAACAGAAAAAGGCGCAGCTCATGTTATAGACATTTACTTTGTTATGCTTTTTAACACCTATATACTGAAACATTTTTGTTCTACCTGTGATCAGAGTGAAGCAGTGATTTTGTTTAATAAAGAATTTTCGAAGATTTTGATTTTACTTGCCTAACACAGACTGCTGAAGCCTCAAATTATTTTCAAGTAAAGTTTTGAACCAAAGTGCAGTTTGCAGTTTGCTAACCTTTGTCAACGTGCAGGCATGTTGTTTGAAGAAGCAGAAAACAAGCAGCTCATACAACTTGTATTGCTTCTCACCCTTTCAGTCTCAATCATGTCATCTCACTGCAACAATATGCAGGGAGAAACAGTTAAAAGTCACACACACACACACACACACCCGACATCCGTCAAGCGCCCAGAATCTGGGTCGCCATGACAACTCTGCCGGTTTCGGGCCCCCCACTGTGAGATACCGAATGGGATTCCTCTGCTCGTTATTTCCTCCGATGCTTGTTCTCTTTGCTCTATTTTTTTCTCCAAAAGGTGGTTATTAATC